GTTGCATCACACCCAACCAATATTTGTACACATTTCCGCTCAGGCATCTGGTATCAAAATTTAACTTTAGCGCGAGTGGATACTAAAATTTAAGAGAGTTTCCTGATCAAAACCAAAATATTACAATTTACGATATAATTTGTTTTGATTAGTATAAGTAATGCACGTGAACCGTAGATCAATCACTTCAGTTCTGTTTGTATTGGCCTCAGTAAAGAAGTTCCTCTTCACAAATATGTGATTAATATACGAATTGTGATCTTTCGAGGAGTTCGTCATACCAGTTCGTCATACCATGCTATAACTAGTCCCCGGGAGGTGATTATAAAGCTAAATTTTTTAGAATCGGAGAGCGACATTTTTTATGGAAAAGACAATAACCCAAATAATTGGTTTTGGAAGATATTCAGAAGCAACTCTTACCAGGCCTGCAGAAGCTGCCTTTTGTTTCTTCTTTTTCCGTTTGACTTCAGTATGATTGTTTGACGGCTTTTTTGACTTGGCCCGTTTCCCGTTTGGATCAATAAGTGGGGCATTTGTCTGTGTCTTCCCAGTCTTTCTCTGACCAGCCGGACGGCCAGGTTGCTTCCCGCGTCTGCTACCTTCACCTGTCATCGATGACATTGAAGACGAGAATTTATTGAACGACTGAGTCATGGAACTTTTGAGGCTTTGAGCTTTTTTTTCAGCGGCTTTCCTATGGCTGGAAATCAAAGGTTAAAATAGAACACGAATTAGTTTAAATTTACTCTGAGAGTGCATCATATTTTCTTCTTTTTTGCATGGGTCTGAGACCTCAGGAACCAAAAAATTTAAAGCTGCAGTGTCCCTATTTCTTTCTCTCTAAAGAGCAATTTCATTAGTTGTCTTAAACCAAAGTAGTTACAACAGCCACTAAGAGTGAACAAAAGATCAAGAGGAGCTACTCCTGATCTTGTTTCTGATTGGCTCCTAGGAGCCAATAAGAAATCAAAGCGAAGGCATGCGCACAACCCACAACACCTCAACGCAAACGCAAAGTTACTGAATTGCGATGAAATGTTTGCAGTCGATTGGTTATGAATAGGACATGGATTTTCTTGACCACTGAATCACAGAACGAGAAATTGAGCCTTCGCATTATTGACTATACTCGACAGAAAATACCTCCATCATTGACATAACTGCTTTTCCATATAGAATCATATTTCTCGTTTAATGTTCAGCTGTTGCACAAACCATTCATTACGATCATCGACCTCGCATGGACCAAGCTACCGTGTATGCCTTCACAAGAGTGAACTGACATCATCTGCTCAGGCTTGGACCTGCGCAAGAAAAACCTAAAGAAACGCGCGTTTACAAATGGGAGAAAAGTTCCCAGATTTTCATTTGTGATCTTGAACAGTTTTATGTCTGTTGAAAAAATAACTTACCTTGCTAATCTTAACCTTAAAAACCAACACATGCTCTCGCAAACCTTTCACATTTTTAAAGCGAAAATGTCTTCAAATTATTTGAAATCGATTCATCAAATCATCGTAGATTTTGTGACGCACGATTGGCATGACGTCACAAAGATAAGTACACGCGGAAATTAGATCACATGATAACCACATCCCTGCTCATTGGCTCGTTCCGTAACTTGTGCGGCTCGTGTCTTGTCGACGTCTAATTTCTTCAACATCCCAGGTTGCGCTGAAAAAACACCATTCCATTCGAAAATTGAGCGTTTCTTAAGCCAGTGACAAGCTTGGCGATTTTTTTTTTACACGATACCTTCACGAGGTCTAACGCAAACCGTGGTTTTTAGCAAGCAGTGGGCCTGTTGGATTCTCTACAAGAGGGTTGATTTAATCAAATAAATGTCCTTTCACTTTTAGCTTTCGGCCGTCTTGACGCTGTTCACAAAAATAAAAGTTTGGGTAAAAGATACGGCTCAATTGCAGATGGCTTTGAGCGCAGCTTTGCTGAACAACGGCTACAGTTTGTTTGAATAACCGGACGTTGGTAATCTCCTCAGCGAACCCACCGTTTCCCTTAGGGCTAGTCATTAAGTGTTGATTAAATTACAGGAGTGCCAGTGATTTGAAAATGTAATGGAGCAAATTCTTTATTAGCCGTTGTGTTTATCTATCTGTAGTAATGTTTCCCCCAAAAAGGCGTTTGACAACCCTTGACTAATTAAGACTTTAAATAAGGTTGAAAATATTCCGAGAAAATTTCATTAAGGGTGTTCCAAGTTCATTACCTTCCTACCACTTTCCGATTCTTCCTCCAGCCAACTTTCATTGTCTATTCTAACACTGTACTCCAAGTTTTTCCATCAAAGCAACTTTCTCCACGTATTACTAGCTTAAATATCCTCCTGTGACGTGTTAGAAATACTTACATACACTTCACAGAGAGAAAGCCAACGACGACACATGGATAAAAAAAAACTGCTGCGAATCGAGAGATACAGAAAGGCAAAACTAATTCCCTCATTTTCCCCAATGATTTAAATATTCCCCTTGAAAAGCATTTTGCTAATTTAATTTCACTAATCTGCAGCGGCAACGCTTAAGTAAAGCTTTCTTTCGAATCAAACGAATCTAATCACTTATAAATATTAATATTTACTTTCGTTTCAAACAGGTTTGATTGTTTGTGATCCCCCGGAAAACCCTTGTCAAGCTTCGTATTTACCGAAGTTAGCTGAAGTTGATCATCACTATTTCGTGAAGTGAAATAGTATTGATTAACTTGTTATTCATTTAAGGAAAAATTCTCCCAATTATTTCGTTTTTCAATCCTTTGACTCCCATGATCGCATTGATAATTTTCCCAACTGCCTGCTACACGATTCTTGTGCCCTTAGTTTAATGCATTTGGTATTGGATCAACTAAATTTCTCCTATATATTTTTCTTAATAGTCCTTTTGACAGTTGTGGGCTTGGTGGCCAAGCCTTTGAACAGGAGTAAGGCTCAGGGTGACCTTGTTATGATAGAGATGTTGCTGCTTTTCAAATGCAAATTGCTTTGTTATCATGCTGACTAGATACAGGTCTCTATCACAACAAGGTCACCCTTAGCCTCACTCCTGTTCAAAGGCTTGGCCACCAAGCCCACAACTGTATAAAGGACTATTTCCATCACTTTCCTGCTTGATATTGACTTGATTTTGTAAGGAGACATTTTTCTTGGTCATTCATGGAAGTTAAAAGGTAGATTATGAACTTTATGCTTGGCTTATACTATTAACCATTCATAAGGATCTTATGATGATAAAATATTTTTATAATGACAATGAAGATGACAATGATAACAAAACCAAAGCTCTAGCTAGCTTCTAAATGTACTACCTCTCACAAGAAAATCTACCTCCCTCCCAAAAATCCCTAATCCGAAAATATTTCCCTTGACTTTTCCAATATTCATTTTGTAACCCTCACTCAACGTATGTTACCACGAAATAAATAATAAAAAATTATGCCATTGTCATGTTATTCCAACTGTTCGAAAATTTAAATCAGAAACTCCGACGACACCAAACGCAACAAGACGTCATAGCTACCTCGTACATCACCACGCATGCTCGTGCCGCACTGACCTCATCACTATCAACGTTCTTGAGACAACTGAGCCTTTCGGAACTTTGCAATATTAACTTGTCGTACGTTTTCAATTTTTTTAAGAGCCTAAATAAATAATGAATTAAATTGGCAAAGACGCACCAAAGTAAGCCGGTGCACCAGCATTGTTAACAAAGAGAAAGGTTTAAAGAGACTGTGAGAGATAAACTTGGAATAGTTTTGAAACCTTTCTCAAAAGTGTGCACCGAAAAGGGCGTCGACCTGGCCGCTTCACGTTGCCATTGCTTCAATCGGATTCTGAACTGAATTTTTTGCTTTCATTTGGGAGCACATGATGTGTTACAAAAATAAAAAGCATTTTTACACAATGATATTGTTACTTGAATCTTTATGAGAACAGGAAAGGACCTGATAATGATCAGAGCTAAAGGATTCTGATTTACGATTTTAGAGCCAAAGCAATTCACCTGCGACACAATTTACTAATCGATGCAAATTGTCTTCTAAAATAAATACTGACTCAGTTTCTTTCCTTTTTTTGAGAAAAAAAAAAAAAAAGCACAAAGCAATTTGGAACAAATTAAGTAGCTGAGCAACTGCACACCCACCCCTTCCCTAACTAGACATTCCCCTAACTTGTTAGCGGTTGACTGTTCGGTTAGGGGAGGGGTAGGTACGCAGTTGCTCAGACACCGAAACGGATCCGACAACTTTGTAGAATTCTACAAAACTTAAAAAAAAACTTTTCTAAGGAACACCAGATTAGTAGAATCGAATACATTCTTATTTGTTGTTCCGCATTTGCATGTAAGTTCTACAGATGTGGTAAAAATTGGAAGAAATTTACTCACGAAGCTCGAGCATCGTGTTTGGCAACCTAGAACGTTGCGTGATACTCTATTCTGCGGTTGAACATGTACGATACGTCACGCAAGAATCAACCGAATTAACCATCACGCGAAGCTCTTCCAAATTAACCGTCCCGCAAGACTCGTGCAAACAATTTTGCACCTTGCGCGGATCACACATTTTATCTTAATCTCTACCGTTTTGGAAAAACTGCCTGTAAAAGTCGGATCAATTTTAATATCTGATAAGACCTAAGGAAGGGAAATTTAAAAGATGTCCGGACACATTTTCCAATCTCTATTCCAGTATGTTCCAGTAAATATCCAGTCCATCTGTTCCGTGTATGGATTTATGTCTTCTTTGAACCACCTGGACAAGAAAAACAGAGATAAACTGTTACGAAAGATGTCAGTTATTTGGCACTCAGTCCCCCGTGATGGCCCGAGTTCCACTTTTTCGATAAGGGAATAACAGAGTGGCCAAACGTCAGGCATGCGCAAGGGGATCACTTTGGCCGGCTGCACGCCAATTTCCCGCGCATAATTTTAATGGCAACATAGGAAACAAACACCGTCACTCTCAATATGCGAAAAAAAAAAAACTGTAAAAGAAAAGAAAAGAAGGGAAAAAAAAACTTAAAACTTTCCATCACAAAGCTTATTTAAGAACGGATATCCTGTTTATTTCCCACTGTGTTTTGAGCTTTATCTAAAAAGCTACACAGGTTTAAAACACCTTGGATTGCTGGTTGGAAAATGTTATGAAATGATTTAAATCAATAAAGAAATAAACTTAAATAAGACAAAAATTCTGCTTACCTAGGAATCCAGCGCTCATGTTTCTGTCTTTCTTTTCTAGCTGCTCTTTGCTTTTCCTCTAGTCGTATTTTTTCCATAGTAGCTGTATCTATAAAGAATGATGAATTCAAATACAAAAACGTTGTCAATGATAAATTCCGTCTATCTGTCCGTCAGAGGTATTTATTCATTAATTTAATTCAATTATTTACTTGATTCAGTCAAACAGTGAGTGAGTCAGTAAGTGAGTCAGTCAGTCAGTCAGTCAGCCAGCCAAGCAGAAAGCCAGTCAAACTGAAAGTCAGGCTCTTTGAATAGTCTGTAGGTTAGCTAGTTAGCTGGTCAGGTGGTCAGTCAGTCAATCAGTCGGTCTTTCAGTCTGCTGGTAAGCCAGTAAGGCAATCAGTCAGGTAGCTAGATGGTCAGCTAGTCAATCAGTTACAGTGTAATTGTTCCGTCACTCAGTCAGCCAGTCAGTCAATAAGCCAGTCAGTTAGTCTGCCAGTTAGCCAGTCATTCAGCTGGCCAGTTTGGTCAGCCAGTCAGTTAGTCAGTCAGTCAAACAGTCAGTTAGCCAGTCAGTCAGCCAGCCTGTCGGTGACTCAGTGAGTCAGTCAACCAGTCAGTCAGTGTGTCAATCAGTCAGTCAGACAGCCAGCAAGTCAGTCAGTCAGTCAGTCAGTCCACCAGTCAGTCCCTGAGTCAGTCAGACAGCCAGCCAGCAAGTCAGTCAGTCAGTCAGTCAACCAGTCACTGAGTCCATCTGTCTGTCCGTCAGTCCATCCACTAGCAAGTCCGTAACGTCAGCCAATCTTTCTAGCAATCCCTTCAACACATCTAAACGTACCTAGATCGCCGTTTTCCAGCGCACGACAATCAGGTCTAAGCCTTGAATCTGTCGGTGGTAACTACAGAAAAGAAAAAAAAAAAGTTTTATCAAAGATGAACATTCCTTCTCCTACACTTCAGAAATAATAACAAAACCAGCAAATGTTGTACTCGAAGGAACAAACGTTTTCAGATCCGTCTGAACCCAGATATAATATACAAGGTGACCATCGTTCCATACCGTAGCTTTGTCTTCTTCGTGGAGTTCGTTTAACTGCATCGCATATGTTGTGAAATTGTACATCTGTTCAAAATGAAAAGGATCAAAGATATGACGTACATGAGAAAAAAAAACCCCGCAATGTGTCCCCAGTTTCCAGCCCATGTGCATAAGTATTCCAGTCATCAAACGTAATTATTACTATTAGACAAGCTGGACAGTACAAGAGAAAACGAGCCGCCGTAAGACACACGGAGCAGTTTCTCGCAGATACCAGTTACAGAGACGCAAAGCCAAGTCTGTTCCAGTTCCTTACCTGTTTACTATTAGGAGGTCGCTCTTGAAATCTCCAGAGCGTCTTGGGAACCGATGTGTCCACACTGACGCTTCCCCCGCTACTACCGCTACTGAAACTCTCCAGAGAAGTGGCAGATGCAAAGCTGTTTTCGCTGCCATCTGACCGCCGTCTCTTGGTTTCTCGTTTTGATTCCTTCCTTGTGATTTTATCCACTGTAAAGCACTGGATACAATCCGTCCAGTCTCCCCGCAGAATGAACCGTTTCCTCTTGCTGCAGAATGAAGAAGTAAGAGTCAAGCGTTACAAACTAAATATTCCGCGGGCTAGGTGATCTCTACCACTGGAATTTATCCTAGTGTAAGTAATATGAAAGTCCACGAGCACTATTATCATCTCATTTGAGAAGCTAGGCTATCAAATGTCACCCCATCCCCCCACCCCCTGGACAAAACGGTCATGTTTCCCTGATAGTTCACTGAAACGCATTTAGATACTTCAGGTGGAGAGAGGGGGGCACGGGAGAGTGAAGTGTCACGCCCACATTCATCTGGCCAGCGTTCCAGAGAGGGTCCAGCGACCCAGAGTCCGTTGCACTGACCAAAAGGCCACTGTACATCCAGTTAAAAATTTACAAAGAAAAAACATGATACTTTTAATACAAAAAAGTAATTCGATAACAGAACACAATCAATAATTGAACGCTTTCTCATTAAACTTAGTTCGGTTAGTTCTTCATTTCCCTTTGAATTTCAAATCGATTGAAAACCACGCTCATTGTCATAATAGAATACACACCCTCAAACGGCCTTCCTCCCCCTCGACCCCCTTGAAACCGGAAAAACTAACTTTCAAACTACATTCTTACTTCTGACATTGGGAGAATTTTGAGCCAAAAGTAAAGAGGACATTTCTTTAGCACGTCCAAGTGAAAAAGAAACTTACTCCGCGGAGAAAATGGAGCCCTCCACCTTGTTGAGTTCTTTACCAAACCATCCACCAGGTTTAAAATGGATCATGCCGTAATCTCCTGTTGTGTGGTTAGTAATTTCTATTTGACCAAACTAAAAGAAACAAATTACTGTTAGGAAACCGTTTTATTTGGTGACACATTGCCATGGGTATTATCCCTATTTAGCCCGTCAGTTGACCAGTGACAGTAAAACATATTTAGACAAATCAGCGTGCAAAATGTCTCAGAATTAGCCAATCATATTACACCATGGCGAGTCGCGAGAAATCCACCAATAAGCGTGCACTTTACCGACACACATTGGCGAGTAACTTTTGGCAGGAAAAATCTGGAGATGTCAAATAACAACAATCACAGACACACAACAACTAACTTGTTCAATCCAAAGCTGTCCAACAATGATATTGTGAACACAACTATTGACGTTATTCCACGTGTAAACTTCATTGCGTCTGGAAAAAATATAAAGGTAATTGTAATGATAAGAGATATCATTGCAAAAATCAAATGAAAGAACTCAATTACTCCTAAAGGGAGGGGGGAGGGGGAAGGGAGAGGTTGAAGGGGGAGGGGAAGGTTGAAGGGGGAGGGGCATTCGTATTTATTGGGGAGGGGGCAATAGTATGTAAGGTATTAGTATCAGAGTATAATGATTAATATATAGATCTCATTAGACGTTTTGGTGCATAGTGTCGCTGAGTATTTTTACGAGTTAGGCCGTATTTTGACGAGCCCATAGGGCGACTCAAAATGTAAACAACGAGTAAAAATACGTAGCAATACTACACGTCAAAGCGTCTAATAAGTTATCTATTATCATGCTGATTTTTTTTTTTTTTCTGTCAAGTGTTTCTGCTCATTTCTCCCAAGGCGGAAAAAACACTGCGGATAGAGAGGCGAAGCGCGCGCAGCCGACCGGTAAAACAGGTTTTTTAGAGTACAAAATAACCAACTGTGCAATATTGCAGGATATTTGTACTCTACTGGGGCGTTTTTTTATACTCTACCTTGAGCAATTGGTTAATAATGACTGTTATTTACTTACTTCGGAAACTTGAGCGTGACCATGCCTTTGGGTTGAATTTCAACTCCTTTACCCCAGAACTTGAGCTTGGGTTGAACTGTTACATGGAACACGAAGTCTTCACTTTCAACTTGTACTGCACTAACAGGAGGGTGATGACTAACCTGTCAGAATTAACCACAAAGAAGAGCAGTTCTTGAGTATGGACTACAATGCAGTTGGTCTTTGTGCGCAAGAAAGCAAAATAATCGCGTGGGTTTTGCAACATTTCAGTGAATAAAACCAACAAATGCCAGCCAGCCCTTCTTTACTCTCACCTGTTCAGCTACAAGTTTGAAACCCATGTCTTCTCTGAAAAAGAAAAAAGAAAGTTCGTCAAGAGAAGCAGAATAGACTTCGACTCACAGACCAGGTGAAAACAACACATTCGTTATCCTTACCGGACAAGTTCATAGGTTTCTCCAAGAAGTGGATTGAAAGGTTTTCCTACTCTGTCTAAATTCGATGCAGTGGCTGATATTGCAAACGCACAAACATACTGTTGAACAAGGACAAATACGTCAACGCATGGAGGTCAGATACCGGAAAATCATTTACTTGAGCCGCAGAAAATAGAATAAAAGTAGAAAAAAGATCGACGGTCGTAAAGTAGTCGTAAAATTGAACTGGGCCTCACAAAAAAAGACTACTCAAGTTTGAACGGGATTCAAACACAACACCGTGTTAAGATAGACCCGTGACTGTTGAAAAAATCGCTTATCAGAGCGTGACCTAGCTTCTACACAATAAAAAATCCTTTTATCCCGCAATAATCTATCTCATCATAGATTTTACAAGCTTGCCAGCAAGCCCGCGGGAAAATGTAAAGCCTTAGGCCACGCGAGTCGGCGAAAGGTCTGTAACAGGCTTAGCACTGTAAATGAGGCGCTTTCTCAACAGTGCCAGACCCCGGCAAACCTCTCACCGACTAATCTCCAATCTTCCCGCGGGCGGAGACACGCGCTTCCTAAAGCGCCATTAATGAGGGCTTATTCGAAAGCCAATATTTTACCTGCATTCGCAGCAGTGGATCGTCTAAACTCGAGGCTGTATGAAGTAGGTTTACATATTCCATGTACTCTGCCACACGCTGAAGAAAGGTCAGCGGCTCATTGAAGATTACTAGAACGTGACAGTGTAACAAGGTAAGTGTCTGTCACACAACGGCGCATGCAAATACTGCTTAGTATGCACGTTCAGATTTTAAGTGATACCTTCCACATAACGCTCACTGAAGAGCTTCATAAGAAACTTTTGCTCTTTATGAGCTTTGTTTTCCCAATTTACCTGGACTGAAGAAGATTTTGGCGACCCAAAAAGTGTAAATTGGAACAGTAGAGCTAAGCGTCAAAGTGCACGAGTCAGCTCATGGAAACTGCACGATCCTTGTTTCATAAAATATCTGCTAACCGCAGGCTATGGTTTGCGATTTGCCTTTTCTGATTTAATTCAAACATGAACAGACGAAATAGTTCAAAAGGTCTTTTGCGAACACACCTGGCATTGTAATTCTTGACAAATCCTGGAAGAAAAAGGAGGGAAAACATCCAATAAATAACTCGCTCACAAACCTTATCAACTGATTTAATTCAAGAGTGGCTGTTGTTAACCAGTGGGTACAGGGGAATTCGTAAACATTGCCGAGTCAATTTTGAAACAACGTCCACGAACAAATTTGGCCATTTCGTTGGTTTCGTTGATAAACAAAGAGCACTTCAAATAAACATTTTCAAAGGAAAAATTTCACGCGTTAGAAGGCTCTTGGTGGCCGTAACTTAAATTGCTTTGTGCGTAGGCGTGGAGAGTGCGCGTGGTACGGTGGGAGGGGGGAGGGGGGAGGAATCGTAGCGTGACGCTGGTAAAGGTGGTATCTTACCTTTCCTATACATTGTCTAAGTACTGCCCATACGCTGAATTCATTTCTTGAAAGCATAGCTACAGGCAGGGCGGTTCTGTGGGGAGAACAATTTTTACCATACCTTATCATGGAATTACTAGTATCTTTTGGATGATTGTAAAGACACACACTCTCTGATTGGTCGACGACCTCTTCATGTCTTACTTAAATCACTCAGCAAGCATGTGGAAATTATCAATTCGAACCACTAATTTCAAAATGGCCAAGGAAGAGTCATTCACCGTGTGGTTCAAGATAGTCTTCACCCTTAAATAAGTATTTAAAACTCTTACGTCATATCAGTCAGAAGAAAATTACCAGCACACAGTGATTTTAACTCCCAAGTCTCCGGAGGAAACCCTACTGCGTGATCATTCAAATGAAAGCTACTGAGTAGTACCAGGGGTTGACAGACGTGAAAAACCAAATGTTACGTCAAAGGTATGCAGTCAACAACGTGGGCTCGAGCGTGCGAGGTTTAAAATTTAGTGAAGTTTGCGAAAATAATAAGGAACTGGCATTTAAAACCGAGGCATTTTGTTGTCGTCGAAGGCACTTTCCTATGTCCAAAGTTTTTAGGGAGAATATTAATTTTCGAAATTATTTAGGGGGTGTACAAAGTTTTTGGAACTTGTTCTGCAAAAGAAAAGCGGCAAGGAAAACAACGCCTCGAAGCAACAGAACAGAAAATCAACCATGCGAACGACTCAAAATCCTTTTTTTCGCGCCAAAACCTAGCACGTGCGTTAGGTTTTAGTCAGCTCTGTCCCAGGGATTTGAGTGAAAGTCGGTTATCAGCGGTCTCCCACCTTCTATGGGACACCTTACCGCGGTCTGTTAAGCCTGCAGGCAGGCTCTCGCATATGGGTTACGTCTTACGGCCTCTTTACCGGACAAACCATCGATGAAGGTATTGAAACCCCTAGAAGCAATTTTATGTGGTGCTGCTCAATATGCCGAATAAAGTGGTTACAACATTTACAATGATGAAGGAATCCCTCATTTGTTCCATTCTGATGAAAGCTTTTGCGCAATACTTTCACGTATGGTATTACTCATTACGTATTAAAACACTCAAAGTGTGCTTTATGGTGAGATCATTCAAATGAAAGCTACTGCGCGGCGCTATCATCTGAAACTCCTTACACGACAGGGATCTCGCAAATACAATTCGTACGCAATTAGGAATAGATGTCAACAAAGCTCACAATACCTGTGGCGCACTTCCCCATTCGCTTTCTTCTCCGCCTCTTGTTTTCTATACAGCGTCGCTGATTGCTCCATGTCAGTGGAGGCAGATTTCGACTTTTGCAGACCTTCAGAGTCTAACAAATGCCTACTTTCCGATTTGGCTGCAATGTTTGTATCAGACGTACTTCTCGTCAACGAAAGTCTGTTCAAATTTCCCAGCTTTCCTCCAGAAGTTGCTCTCTTAATATTATTACTATTGGTACTAGCGTTAGGCACGACAATATTTGTTTCGACGTGATTGTGTTCAATCTCTTGCCCCGCTGCTTCAAGGGTTGCTACACTCGGTACGTACTCGTCACCATCATCACTGTCGTCATCCGAGAGCAAGTCGTCAGGAAGAGGGCAGCCTACGTCCGATCTCGCATCGAAAAACTCCTCGTTACAATCACTTGTCAAGGTCATGCGACTTCCATGAACGAACTGCTAAAAAGAAAAAAAGAAAAAAAAAAGAAAAACATGCTTCACGCTTCATCTCCCAATAACTAGATGGCGATTCTCCCTTCTGAATGCTAGCATTTCTTTGCAAATGAGTGAGGAGAATTTAGCAGTAGAACAGTTTTCGATTACGTGTCGAAAACCAAAACCAAACTTATCAAAAAAGCAAATCCGAACAAAAGTTAACAACATCATTAGCCAATGACTACTTAAAAAGTAGAGATAGGCAACTTGCTTGCTGGAGTGGATTGGAAGAAGGGGGGTGCAAAGAACTCTTAAGAGGGAGGGGGATCGAAAGAAGTATTTTTCCCAATCCCCTCCACCGTCAAAATTTTCATTCTACTCACTACCACCCCCCGGATTCGCTTTGAAAATCGCTTCAGGCTTTCCTTAATCTTAACAAACAAAGGCGGCGGTTGCAACACTCTATCCTGCGGTTCAGTCAATTAGCGCTCTTGCTTTCGGAACCGGCGAGTTTGTTTACGTTTTCAGGCGAATGGAAGCAACCACACAACTCGCACTTCCCGCTTGCCTTGCCCCACCCCCTCCCCCGGCGCTTGTCTTCGTTCACCTGAAAACGAAAAGATCACGCCGGTTCTGCAAGCTTCATGCGCTCGCAAGAAAATACACCTGCTAGGTAGGCTAATCAACGCGTGTTACCACAGCTCCGTAGTTTAGGGTCAATAGGATACGAAGCCCGGGAGAAGTTAATAGATCATGACAGATGTCAAGAGAAGCTTGAGGCGCAGCCGAAAGCAATTCTTGTTTCGTGAGTGCTCTGTAAACCTCCAGATAGCTCTATATATCTCAATGAACGCACAACTTGCACGAAACCTATCTCTTTACAACACTTTAAAGTTCCTTTAAGCAGAAAATTTCTTCCAAGCTTTAATGCAGAGACATATGTCATCAGCGTGCACAATGGACTATTAAGAATGCATGCTTCAGTGAATTTGATAATACCAATTTAATGGCTACGTCAAAATGAATATTGGGCATGCAACCATGAGACACAAACACAAGTAAACGCAATCGAACGACTGATATTCTAGCAAGGAATATAATTTAGCTAAGAAAGGAAAATTTTCAATTCTACCGAACTTGGTCCTGAAAATTTAGTCGAGAGAATGTAGTGTTTTATTAAGACAAAAAATTTTGGTCGATATGTTTATCTATTCATTCTCGTGACCCGTGTACAAGATAACGCATCGATTTGCAGGGATAGTTTGAAGGTTTATTGATTTTGAAAGTGAATAATTCCATGGGTGATACTATATGAAAAAATCCCGGCAATAAGTCTCTCTGATGTGTTCTTTCCTCAGCACCGTGTTTGAAATGATATTAACTTTGATTACAAGAATGGATTCTGTGCTCTATTTTTAACATTCATAATTCATACGTCTTAAATTAAAACACTCTAAGCAGTACAACAGAGACGTTTAAATGAAGCAGAATGAATTTAAGATAAACGTTCTCTCAATAAATCCCATTCTCGAACAAGATTTCCTACCTGCAACTTTTTGTTTTCGTTTACAATGGGCCTTCGACGTAAGACAAAATTGTAATTACAGAAAAAAAAAAATTCTCAGACGCGCATATGAAAATATCGAAACCACATTTCTTAGTTTTCCGTGTATTTGTTACACCTTCTCCTCTGCAGTTATTGAAAATGATATTCGAGAGAGAGTCTCTGGCCAAAAATTTCACGCAAGTCTCAGAGGAAATAATACTTGTCGTATTTGAATAGCAAATCTGTCAAAAAGTTGCCTTGGCTTGAAAGATAATTTATCACGGAACAACAATAAGGAATCAAAACAGTAATGTGAAAAATAATTACGATATTTCAAAACGCGAGGCAGAAAAAAATTATGAAACTAATATTGACCGGACCAACCAGACAAGATTTCTCGCCATGAAGCGCTTCAGTTCATTCAATTATCTCTTTATTTAGAATTTATATTACTTGGTTACTCCACTGATAAAACTTTTATTCGATATGGCAAAACTAATCCATCACGTTCATTACAGAAAAGAAACGGATTCACTTCGTTTACATTTCGCGATAAACAACCGAGCAAACCATCCGTATAAATTCTATCCCCATATCATTTTTTCCTATCAAGATTTCACCGGATCATGTTGTATAAATACATTCTACACGTAAAAATGTCAGAGATCACAAAACCTAGTCAAGAGGAATACAACTGATCCTTAAATAAAAGAGGATAACAGTGCTAAATTTTGCCATCTTTTAAAGGATTAAAATCTATCTTGAATATTTACAACCTTTCATATTTAAAGCCAAATTTTAATCGCCTTGCACAAACACAGCTTTTTTCAAGCGAGCGCTCGCGAAATTCGCCTACGCGAAACATGTTTTCCTTAAAATCTATCTGACACATTTTTGTTGATTTCCAATCATGTGAGCCAATTGGAAAGCCAGAAAACCGCACGAGCAACTTGACATCTACGCCAACGGACAAGTGGGAAATCCGATTGGCTGAAAATCAAGAAAACCAATTTAAAAACACCAGAAATGAACGCAAATTTTCACCCACAGACAATGGCGTAGCGCTAGTTTTCACAAACACCTACAGCTATGCAAATGTAATGAAAATTTTTTGAGAAGGGAAGAATACGCGATGGCGAAATTAAGCGGCGAGATCTTACCTCGTGGGCTCCAATTGAGCACTCCAAAGCATGATGTTCTGTCGCCAAGACGTGAAGAGCATCCTCGAGCACTCTTCTCTTCTCTACTTCTTCTTCAAATCTGAGATGACGCACCTGAAATTTATAATTGAAAGAGAACGAAGCGAGATGCTACTGACAAAACGTCCGCAATGAAGACGTAATTAGCATAAACCCAGCTTAAAACCGCTGGCAGATAATAGAATACCATGTAAACATGATGGTTACCGGAAGTAAGTTTTCTAAACAGAAACCACAACACAACCACGTTGAATAGCTCTTTCTTCTCGATGTATCTGTCTTGATCACTGCCATCAAAGCTTTCATTCAATTATTACAAAAAACGTCCCTTTCCAAAGACCAAATTGCCCAAGGATTTTCGAAAAAAAATCGCCATCTCGATCAAATTTTGCAGTCGGGTTTCTGACAAAATCTTTCGTAAAATTGCATGCGATACATTCTGGGTTTTGGAATTAAATCAGACGGCCAAGCGTGGTTAAAATATGAACGTTAAATAAAATACAAGATCTTTTTTTCAAAAACGAACGTTTACTGAAAACGAAATCATCGTGACAAGTAACGGGCAGTGAAGAATTTCAAATTATACATTACGAGAGTGAAACGGCTTATAGATGGTCAAAATTGAGAAGAATCGCAAATGGTTAGATCTTTTTGTCCCTACCGTATTCTTACGTGGTCTAAGATTATTAACTGAACAGATACATGGGAAAATGGCAACTATTATAGCTGAATTTCAGCCGTCTCTTCCCTTTACCCCAAAGGGAGGTGTCTCTCGCGCGCGCCCCCCTTGGGGTAAAGGGAAGAGACGGCTGAAATTCAGACTACACCTATTAGTTCACTGGTAAGATCCAAAATGCAATTTACATGCATGTGTAAGTCATTTCTGAGTGTATCCGCTGTGCAATCGTACCTCCTCTTGCTGCGACAGTAAATCCAAACAGTGAGTCAGTGCGTTACACATATTACGAGCGGTTGCTACCACCTCGTTGAGTTTCTCGCTGATCTTCACTAAGCTTCCTGCCACGAAAAAAAAAACAAAACAAAACAAAAACATTATGCATCAAACGAGTGAACAGCAGGACATAAACTCATCAGCAGGTGAAAATGATTAACATGTAATCTCTCAAAGTAATATCTATACATTATCCAGCAAACAGGTAATAAGAATACGCAAACTTATCAGGTAAAAGTTGTCACCTTGATGGAACACCAAATTCTCGTAACTTGGTTACGAGCAAATGTGTCGCAGCTAGAGGGGAGAATTAACAATCCGATCTTGGTAGTTTTAAGTGTTAACCGGCCACAAATCGAAAACGTTATTCCTCGTATCAAATTTCCTAATAAATAAAGTCGTTTGGTCACGAACGCGGTTCAAAGAAAAAAATCTGATCCCCCACGAACAATCCGCCAAATGTCTCTTCTATTCTGTTATTTATTACACGACTAGGGCAGTCAGAGGGCCAATAACTAAACTCTATCAATCAAAATGCTCTATTGCCGGTCCAATATTCTCTCAGTATTGGACCGGGCACTGTCCCGAATGGTCCCGAATGATACCGCACTTGTGTCCTTTTGAACTTCAGTCGTATAATAAATCTCTTATTAACCAAGCTTGCTCGGGACCGTACTGGAAGAATATCGGCCCTCGGTCTTTTTTGTACGGACCTCGCTGCGCTCGGTCCGTACTGTCAAGACCTCGGGCCGATATTCTCCCAGTGCGGCCCTCGCGCTCGGTTAATAAGATATATGTTATCGTTGTTTTCGACATTGCTGCTCCTAAGAGTATGGAGGGCGCTTGCCACATTAAGGAAGTAGCTAAGTTATTCCAAAGGGGTCTGGGGAGTAGAGGTCACTGTTAAAAATTTTCGCCCGCTTTACGTGAATCGGCCTTTGCCGCGAGTTGTCGGGCACGTTGCGATGGCAGCACTGTGTGACTCATAACTTGTGTGTCTTACCTTTGGAGTTTGACTGCGATGAGTGTGAGCTGGTTACCTCTGCAATTGTCTTATTTATTCCACCAACTTGTTCGTCGAGAAGTTGCTGATGGGCGCGAGCGCTCTGTGTATAAACAATTTATTTGTCGGTGAAATTGTTGTTCACGGTTAAACTTTACTCTTTACACCCTGCTCTCTATACATTTCCTGAAGTGCTGACAACGAGCATTTGTTTAATAATCAAGAGCTTCTTTAGTTAGTGATCACTTTCGACATTCTCCTGACCTTGATGTTTTATTCAGGGTGATATTGTAAGGAGAAATTAGATGCTAATCACTCTTAGGGGTTGAAGTGTGAACACAATTTTCAACAATAGATGGAAGCGGGTGCGTTTGGTATCTTTCAAATCACTTTGAGATTGAAGAACCCCCTTTAAAATCTTTAAATAAATAACAAGATGGTGATTAGGCTACACCATTCACCTTTAGCGAGTCCTGCATGCTCCCGAGCGGTATGACATCCTGTTCCTGGTCATCAATGAGCACTGTGGGTTGAGTCGTGTAAAAGGTGCTGTAGGCGCAGTGTTCATGCAGCGAGTTTAACCATCGCTGGAATGAGAAAGCAGAAATAAAAGAGCGTTCATTAAGCCATCCCCTCATAGACACCGTTCACAGGCGAAGTGTAACACGACACGCTAAAATAGATAAAGAATAACAAAGATGGCAAGTTTTCAGCTCAGTAAAGAAATAGAGAAAGAGGATTTTTCGTTTCGTCACGAAGGTGGGTCAAGGAAGAAAGAGAAGAAGTGCCTTCCCATTGAATATCGTAGGACAAATAATTACACATGCGCACCGACTAATCAGAGTTGATAGAGCAACAAAAGTTCCCCAGTGTTGAATTCTTCGCTTCAAGCCGGTGAAGTAAATTGCAAAGCGCAACATCGAAGCGCGAATTAGAAGAGAAGGCTAACGTGAAAACAATGTGTAACGTGTAGAAAGAGGATTTAACGATACAGACCTGGCGTTGAACTTGTGGAGTTTTTTCACTTTGCGGAATGCTCCAGATCTGAACGGTGTTATCTGAATAATGGATTTTAATTTTGTGCTTCTCGTCCTTGGGAACCTGCATAGAAAGAAGGAATGACGATGCAGTAACAAGGCACATAAAAATTAGAGGAATTGAAAAAAAAGATTTTCTTACATTAGGATCGTGGTCAATGTACAATGTAGTTTTACAGCGATACTCAAGACACAATACTTAG